AAAGAAAGAGAGAGAGAGAGAGAGAGAGAGAGAGAGAGAGAGAGAGAGAGAGAGAGGGAGAGAGGGAGAGAGGGAGAAAGAAAAAAAAAAAGAAAAAAACAAAAATATTATTAAAATAAAAAATAATTATTAAAAATTAAATAAATAAAAAAAAATAAAAAAAAAAAAAAAAAAAAAGAAATAAATAAAGAAGAGAGCAACCAAACCAAAAAAAAATTCCACCAATGATAACAAGCACTAAAATCTATACTAAAAAGAAAAAGAAAGGACAGACAGAACCCTAGGACAAATGGTAAAAGCAAAGTTATACAGACAAAATCACACAAAGAAGCATACAAATACATACTCAGAAAAGAGAAAAAGGAAAAAATTACATATGTCGTTGCTCCCAAAGTCCACCACCGTCAATTTTGGGATCATTTGTTGTCTATTCAGGTATTCCACAGATGCAGGGTACATCAAGTTGATTGTGGAGATTTAATCCGCTGCTCCTGAGGCTGCTGGGAGAAATTTCCCTTTCTCTTCGTTGTTTGCACAGCTCCTGGGTTTCAGCTTTGGGTTTGGCCCTGCCTGTGTGTGTAGGTCACCTGAGGGCGTCTGTTCCCCGCCCAGACAGGATGGGATTAAAGCAGCAGCAGATTAGGGGGCTCTGGCTCAGCCTGGGGGGAGGGAGTGGTATGGAGTGCGGGGCGAGCCTTCAGGGGCAGAGGCCGGAGTGACGTTGCACCAGCCTGAGGCGCGCTGAGTGTTCTCCCGGGGAAGTCGTCCCTGAATCCCGGGACCCTGGCAGTGGCGGGCTGCACAGGCTCCTGGGAGGGGAGATGTGGCCAGTGACCTGTGCTCGCACACAGGCTTCTTGGTGGCTGCAGCAGCAGCCTTAGCGTCTCATGCCCGTCTCTGGGGTCTGTGGTGATAGCCAAAGCATGCACCCGTCTCTGGAGCTCATTTAGGCGGTGCTCTGAATCCCTTCTCCTCGTGCACCCCGAAACAATGGTCTCTTGCCTCTTAGGCAGGTCCAGACTTTTTCCCGGACTCCCTCCCGGCTAGCTGTGGCGCACTAGCCCCCTTCTGGCTGTGTTCACGCAGCCAACCCCAGTCCTCTTCTAGGGATCCCACCTCCGAAGCCTGAGCCTCAGCTCCCAACCCCCGCCCGCCCCGGTCGGTAAGCAGACAAGCCTCTCGGGCTGGTGAGTGCCGGTCGGCACCGATCCTCTGTGCGGGAATCTCCCCGCTTTGCCCTCCGCACCCCTGTTGCTGCGCTCTCCTCCGTGGTCCGAAGCTTCCCTGCTGCCAGCCTCGGTCTCTGCCAGTGAAGGGGCTTCGTAGTGTGTGGTAACTTTTCCTCCTTCACAGCTCCCTCCCAGTGGTGCAGGTCCCATCCCTATTCTTTTATCTCTGTTTTTTCTTTTGCCCTACCCAGGTACGTGGGGAGTTTCTTGCCTTTTGGGAAGTCTGAGGTCTTCTGCCAACATTCAGTACGTGTTCTGTAGGAGTTGTTCCACATGTACGTGTATTTCTGATGTATTTGTGGGGAGGAAGGTGATCTCCATTTCTTACTCTTAACACCATCTTGAAGGTCTCTCCTATCTGAAACTACTTTTTTAAAAAATTACTTTATTGAAGTATAGTTGATTTACAAGGTTTTGTTAATCTCTGCTGTACAGCAAAGTGATTCAATTATATATATATATATATATTCTTTTTCATAATTTTTTCCATTATGGTTTATCACAGGATATTGAATATAGTTCCCTGTGCTATACGGTAGGACCTTGTTGTTTATCCATTCTATGTATAATAGTTTGCATCTGCTAATCCCAAACTCCCAATCCTTCCCTCCCCCTTGTGGGCAACCACAAGTCTGTTCTCCATGTCTATGAGTCTGTGAAACTACATTTTGTTGTTTACTTATTGTATATGTTTCTCTCAAAACCATGATGTGTGAGAAAAAGATGGAATTTGGAATTAGGCAGACATGAATTCACAATCTGCACAAATAGGTGAATGTAGATGAGTTACTCAAACTTTCTTAGACAGTAACCTGGTTAGAACACAATAGGGAACATAACACCTGTTGTTGCAATGATTAAAGTAAGTATGGGTTGCAAAACCCCCCATTGCAAAGCCTGGCACCAAGTGAACAGGGACACATTATTTGTTGTGTTGGTTTACCCATTTTTTTGCATCTGCAATGGCCCAGCACAGGCAGAGGGCACAGCTCCATACAAATGATGTGGACTTGAGGCTCTTGTGGCCCGAGAATTTCCAAGTCTATACTTACTCACCTTCATCCCCTCTAAGCCAGGTTGTTGGTCACTTTCTCTCAAAAGACACAAATCAGGGTTATGACTGGCATTTCAGAGACTTGGGAAGTAGAGATAAAAGGGACACATTTTTTACATTTATTGGATGGTGACTATGTGCCAGGCAACATATTGAGTGTTTCACATATATTTTCTCATTTACTTCTTGTAATGACCTTATGAAGTAGGCATAATGCTCCTTAATCAACCACCCCAAAACATAACGGCTTAATGCAACAACCATTTATTCCTCGTCATGAGTCAGCTGGGCGGCTCTGATGCGGGTCGGGATTGGCTGACCTCGGCTGGGCTTGCTCATGTGTCTGTGTTCGGCTCGTGGGTCAGCTGGTGCTGACCGGTCTAGGATGGCCTTGGCTGGCTGGACAGCTCAGCTCTACTCCATGTGGTCTCTTGCCCTACTGCAGTGGTCCAAGAGAGGAAGAGGAAACATGTCTGTTACCGTCTCACTGGCCAAAGCAAGTCATGTGGCCAAGCTCTGAGTTGAGGTGGGAGAATACATCCAAAGGGAATGAATTCAGGGGGACATGAACAAATGGGGGTCATTAGTACACTTGATTTTTCACAATAGGCATAGTTATTACCTCCAGAGGAGGAGATGGAGGCTAGCAACGCTGTGCCTCTTGTTCACTGGCCTGCCCCCTGGTGTCTTTCTCTGCTGTGTTCTTTTTGGTGATCTACTGCATGGGGTGAGGATATTTTCCAATCAGCTGTATTTCCCCTTCTCATTATTTGGTCTGCATTTGAAATTTCATGTAAACATTTTGGGACTAACCGATTGGTCTTAAAGAAACTCAAAGGAATGACATCAAGGGACAGTGTGGGTAAGTTAGTAAGGTGAGTCTACTTATTAGAAAATGAAGGGGAGGCAGATATGTAATTGGATGGAGCACAAACAGAAGAAAATGAGACAAATTTATATTTCTCCTCTATCTGCTGGTTTCCCTGATTTTGCCTGGGTCACCTTCACCTTCCCTGCCTCCATGCCATCCTTTCTGGATCCTGACATCAAGTCTGAAAAAGGCAAGAGCCTGATATGGACCTGAGGCACTTATTAGCCCTTTGATCTTGGGCAAGGAAGTTCCTTCCCTAATTTCCCCGAGCCTCCATTTGCGCATGTGAGAAAGAATAAGAGCACAGATGTGGGTTGTGTGGGTTTAAGGAGACCTGCAGGTGAAGCGCCCTGCCTAGGCTGAGCCTTCCTGCAGCTGCCATGAGTCATGGCTGCCCCGCAAGCGCTTTTTGGTGCCTGGAAATGCAGAAGAGTCGACCTGCACAACTGCAGCGGCTCTGAGTGAGCTGCCAGGGCGGTGCAGAGCGGCTGAGCAGCACGAGGGCTGTTAATGGATTTTATGGCTTTGTTGAGTATCCCAAATTACAGTTATTAATTATAGGATGCTGTTTAGACACGGTTGCAACATATATTTTGTTAGTTGATTTGTATAGGCACATATCTGGCAACATAAAGAATGTGTAGGACCATAACACTTACAAAGCACTGTAATCGCCTTTTACTGCCCTCTTTGGCTTCTCAGACAGGAACAAAGGCTTTGAGGAGAGGACGGACAACTCTCCTTGGCCTTTGGACTGTCTAATGTCTAATTTAGTGTCCAGTGGCAGGGTGACATAACCTGTCTAGGTGCTCAGTATATGAGTTGAATCAATGAATAAATAACTTTTTTTTTCTAGATTTCTCTATTTCCTTAACTATTCCTTATGAACCCTGACCTGTGTGTGATATTGGCACTGCATATATGTATGCAAATAAGGTCAAGGATTTCTTCTGAGCCATCAGTTAATGTTTAGGGAGTACCTCTATGAACCTTGTGTGGCCTGGGGGTGGTGGGGAGTTGTCAAGAGTGCAAGGCCGTTGCACTCTGGGTACTGACAATTAATTACTCATGAGGTGTTACAAGGCATGACGTCGGGTGGCCTGGTCTCAAGATGCGTGGAGTGAAACAGAAAGGTGGTAACTTCTTGCCTGGGTGCCATACTGCAGGGAAGTGTCTGTCCCACTGCAGCCTCGTCAGGCCCAGCGGCCCACGTTGGCTTTTGTGATCTGGTCCATCAGCCTCCGAGAGCCGTGGCTGTTCCTGCCTCTCCAAGATGGTGCGGAGTGCGGCCATTGCCCTCCGGGTCCGCGGTGATGTACCCGTCTTGGCAACTCAGAGCAGCACTCGCGCTTTCCAGCTCTAGCGTGTGCCTGGCGCCCTCCCCAGACCAGGCGGCACAGAACGTCCGGAGACCCGGCCAAGGGCAGGACCTGCAGCAACGCCCGCCCGCCCGCCCCTCCGCACGGATGTCAGCTCCAAGGGCGTGGCGGGGCACGGTGCGCTGAGCCCCCGCAGGCGACGCTCAGGCTCCCGGGGACCACTTCTGAGGGAACCAGCCCTCCCACGAGGCAGTTATTTGAGAGCCGGAGCGAGGGCGCGAGGCCGGAGGGCTCCCCGCAGCCGCCCACCCGGTCCTCTGGGAGCCGAGTCCTACCTTGAGGAGAAGCGCCCCGGAGCTCGAGGACGGTGGAGGAAAGTTGGGGGGGCGAGGGCGCGGAGCCGCGAGCCTAGGAGCCGCGGCCGGTGTCCGCGTCTCATGAATATGCAGGAGCCACCTCCCTCCCTCCGTGACGTCACGGGCCGTCCTGGGGTGAGCGCCGGAGCTGCTCGGGGTCCGCGCCAGTGAGCGCGGCTGCTGAGGGCGAGCTAGCGGCGCGGCGGCGGGCACCGGAGGCCGAGCGCGGCGGCGCCCGAAGCGCACACAGCGGCAGGGCAAGGCGGCCCGAGGCCCGGCGGACACCGGAAGGCGAGAGCCGGCGAGGGCAGTAGGCGGCGGCGGCGGCAGCGGCAGCTCGTAGGCGGCGGCGGCGGCGAGGATGGTGACTGGGAGGCTGTGCTGGGTACCGCTCCTGCTGGTGCTGGGCGTGGGGAGCGGCAGCGGCGGCGGCGGCGGGGGCAGCCGGCGGCGCCGCCTCCTCGCCTCTAAAGGTGGGTGCTGGGGAAGTTTCTTCGTCTCCGAGGAGGGAAGCAGGGCGGGCTTGAGGGTGCAGGCGGCGGGGACCCCGCTGGATTTGCACACCCTCCCTTGCCGCAGCTTCCCCGGCCTCCGTGCGCCCGGGATGACCAAAGTGAGCGCCCAGCGCCCTGGACCAGAGAGATTCCACCTGCGGACGCCGGCCCAACCCCTGGGCAGGTTCTAGGGACCCAGGGGAAGGCCAGGTCTGGGGAGTCCGGACAACTCTGTTGGCTTTCTGCGTCGGAGTGGGGGTGTAGTGGCCGAGTGGCGGGCTCCGGCCCGGGAGCGGCGGGAGCAGGGCGCTGGCACGGCGCGGACAGGCAGTTGTCTGCTCCAGCCCTGAGGGAGGAATCAGTGGCGGCGCCGTCAAAGGAGGGAGCAGAGCTCGCCTCCCAGCTCGGGGATGGGGTGGAAACTTGTGGGCTCCGGGGAAGGCCTCCCTGGCTGGCTTCAGGATCCCCCAGGGCGGCTCTGGCTCCCCTGGGAACGCGCGCCCTCCGGGTGGGCCGCGGAGTCCGGAAGAAGTGCGGGATGTGACCCTTCCCCATGGCCTCTCCGACTGTGCTTGGGCACCCGAGCACAGAGGCGCGGAATCCGGTGACCTCCCTCCCCGCAACCCTATTGGCTTGGAGTTCTTGACCTCCCCGCTTCTCCCGCCCCGGAGGAAGCAAGATCCTGGTGAACGCCTGGCGCGGTCGGGAGACTGTAGGCTGGCGAGCCGCGGAATGTGCTGCCTGGGAGCGCGGGGAGGAGCGCCGGGGTGGGGGCGTCTGGAGGGCGAACTGAAACGGAAGGTCACGTGCTTGCTGGACGGTGGTGGGAGAGGCAAGGGAGGAGCAGAGCGGGCTTGGGTGGCGATGGGCGCAGGAGAGGCGGTGGCAGTTCTGGGCTGGAGTGCCCGGCTTGGTGGTAACTTGTTGATTCTCTGCGTTTTGACTAGGATAGAAGGGCGTGCGATTGGTTTAAAGGCTGTGGCCAGATTTGCCCGGCAACCAGTACGGGAAGGAACGTGGTCACTGACAATCCTCAGAGGACGGAGGAGTTTGCTCTTGTAGATAAAGAGGCTCCGTATTAGCGGCAACCTGATTTGCAAACTGGCTTTGAACTGTAGCTTACCTGTGGCTCAGGAGGGAATGTATTCTACGTTTAATTACCCTTGGAGGGTGGGGAGAGCGCGAGGCAGCCAGTTCGCCTCCTCAGACCTCGGGAATGCCTCTCCCGCAACTTGAGAGTGAGACGGTTGAGAAGAATAGGAGAGTTTCTGTTTTTGCTGTAATTTTTTAGTTTGGTGGCATCGTTTTTTGTAACATTATTTTATAAGCAGGCATCCTGTTCCTTTTCATCAATTCCTACCCCACCCCCATCCTTGAGAGGTAGTTTTTTGGGGAGGAAGACGAAAACTGATTATGAAAATGTCTCAAACATGTGGTAAAGGAAAGGTAAAGGAATGGGTAAAGGAGTCGTTGATCATTCAGAGAGACGCTTGTTTTGGTGAAAGCAAGAATAAAAAACAAAGAACGACCAAATCGTTTGCTCTCCTTCCCCAATATAGACACTTTGTTAAATAGGCAGATTACATGTTTTCGATTTTTTTCGTCACTTTGTAGCGGAGCAAATGGCGTATGTTTAAGCCGATGTTTACATACAGGGGGGCTCACAGCAAGTGAAGGAAGGGAAAAAACTTGTTTGGGAAGACCTGGTATGCTTATGCATCGCCTAGTTCCCAGGTCGAAATGGAAAACTTGGTAGAGATAAAAGAGAAAGATTGAAAAGAAAAAAAAAAAAAATCCAGGCTCTCAGTGATTCACACATATGTGAATAATTATGTGCATTTTAACCAACACCTTGCATCTTCTCCACTTAGAACATATTCATTTCATGTTGAAAATAAGCCATTTGTCTTTCCGGAGTAAAAAGTTGATTGGTCCTGCGGAGCTAGAGTTGCTGTCTCCCCCGCGTTCTTTCCTCTTTCTCTTTCCAACCACTGGGGGGCTGCAAAGGGCGCCGTTAGCTACATTTTTCTTTTCATTTCTTTTTTAAAGACAAATGTGTAATATTCGATCAAAACAGAGACATTTGCTATGACACTTTAGCTGGGATTTACAGGGCTGACTCTCCTTATTACAATGCACGTGCATTTTATGTCTCTAAATTTTATATAATTTCTGAAGAACATTTGAGATACTGAAGGTATGCTTCATATATGATGTGTCCCACCACTGACTCTGCCTTTTCTAAGGTTTATGTCATTATTATCCCCATCACTAAAAAGGAGAAAAGTCAGGAAGACCTATGAAGAAGACTGAACAAAAAAATAGCTTTCTTTTCCCATACAATTTCTGAATTCATTCACAGAGGAAAAATGGGAGTGGGGCATCAAGCTGCGTGGCAGACCTGAATGCACCCTCTGGACAACTGTCTGGAAGTATGTCCTCCCGGCTTGGGCTCGTGTACGATGTCGTGTTTGTGGCACACAGCTTGTTCTGCCTTTGTGTTTCTTGCTTCCTCTTGTAGGGAATCGAGCAGCTAATCCCTGAGAACTGTTTGGGGTTTTCGCAGAATCGCTGCACTTTGAGTACAAACATATTCCTGACGTCAGAAATAATACCGTGGCCAGGCAGCTATTATAACCCCTTCCTTTTCTCTCCTGTATCTTGATTATTCAAAAAAAGACAAACACTTTCTGGATGCTTTGAAAAGACCAGATCCTATGCACATGTTTCATGAGCAAAGCTTGGGAAGGCATTGTGGACCCAAGGAGACTCTGGAGCAGAGAAAGGCGTGTCTTATCTAGGGAAGAAAAGGCAATACAAAGTAACCTCTTAAGATTTGTGCCAAATTTGGTGATGCATCAGTGGTCTCAGGTCTCAGGGATCTGGTACACAAACGCTTTTCAGTCCTCAACATCCAGGTATTGGTTGTTCAGGACGATGCTTGAGTAGAGACCATCAGCAATAACTGATGTAGTACCCACCTGTGTGCCCAGAGCCTGGCTCAGTGCCCTGGAGGATTCTTAGCAAATATAAGATCACCCCCCGCCCCCGCAACCATTCCCATCTCACTACTGCCTTGCTTTGAGAGACAAGATTTTTATGTGAAAACTTTAGGAGAATGACAGCAGGCTGAGTTTGTGCCAAGTATAGTACCATGCGATGGGGACGCAGACAAGGGAGATAGAGATAGGAAGAGGGCTTGCAAGCACAGCATTTGGTAATAGAGAGGGGAGGAGACAGAGCGGAATTGTAGCAGTAGTTGTATAATTGTAGTAACTGCAGTTTGTGGAACTTCTCCTTAGTGTGTTACAGGCACTGCGCTAATCCGTTTAACTGGGCTGTCTCTCATTTTTACAAATGCAGGGCTGGTTTTGGTAGCCCATTTCACAGAGGAAGAAACTAAGTCTGAAAGAGGGCAAGTGACTTGACAGGACAACCAGGGGAGGATGTGACACTGGGGTGAGAATGCGAAGGCTCACCATGGCCAGTGCCCCTTGACTGTTCATCTCATATTCTCCCCATTGGATTTAAAGGCAGATCTAGTGACCACAGGGAAGCTGACTGTATCTCTGAGATCCCCAAGAGCCCCTGTGGCCCTGCATACACAGGAGGAGAGTCCAGGGCTGCTGTTTCAAGGGCCCTGTTGGGAGATAAATGGAGTGGGCCTTGTTCTCAGCCATGGAAACCTGTGTTCTAGCTTCAAGCAGCAGCCTCATCCTCCCTCTTACAGATTCAAAAGCCATCCTTGCGTATTCCAAAGTGCACACACAGAACCTCCCGTGGGGGCGAAGGTGGTGTGGACTTTTTATGGTGAATTGTCCTATATCATCTCTTGGAAAGTAGCATGTGTCTCCTGGGGGTGTGGTAGTTATTTCCCCAACAACTGAAGCACAAACGACAAAATGTCCTCAGCATTGCATCAGAGGGTGCACTCTGACCTGCACTCATCCCAAAGCACCTGTGGTTCCTGGACCAGGATGTGCTCATTCCTGCCCTGGACCCTTTGGACCATGTCTTCAAGCTAGACGGTCACCTTCCTCAGCCTAATGCCTTCTGTGACTCAAGACACAGCCAGGCTTGGGCATGGTTTCTCCTAGGAGCCTTCCCTGACTGGTCCCCCTGGCTGGGCCCCCGGGATGTGGCTCTCCCTCTGGTGTACCTGTGCTCCTTGTCTGGCTCCAGCGCTGCCCTGTGAGCTCTGAGGGCTGGAATCTTGTCCTGATTCTCCCTCCCTGTCCTGGTCTCCAAGTCCACCCCACTGCCTGGCCTCTGGATGTGAGCCGAGCAGTCAGTAGTGAGTGGCTTGGTGAATCCACCTGTCTGCAGTTGCAGTGCTATTGTTTAATGACACAGAGAGTTTGGATGTTTTCTCCTGTCCTGTAGGAAGGAAAATTTGGGCTTCATAGCGAGAGAAACCTGGGTTCCAATCCTGGCCCTACTGCTTCCCAGTAAGATAATCTTGGACAAATCAGTGAATCCCTTTGAACCTCAGTTTCCTTATCTATAAAATGGGGATACAAAGATCTACCTTGCCAAGTGTTTGTCAGGAAAGTGTTTAGAAATCACTTAGCACAGTTCATGGCATGTAAACAGCATTAAATACACAGTGACTGTAATTACTGTAATTACTGATCATTTAAACACTGGGTTCTAGCATCTGAGATTTGGTGACATTCTCCCTTTCTGACTGACCTCTTGGCAGTTCAGTAACTTCGTTCATATCTTCCCTCCGTTCAAACTCTGTTCTCTCTGTCTCCCTCCACATATGCATACGTGTGGACATAGTCATATATAAATACACGCACACATAGACATTTGGCTTGAATTGTGAAAACACCTGCCTCTTTCACTAGTCTATGAATGCATTTGAGGCTGGGACCCATGTCTTGTCTCATTCATCTCAAAAGCCCTGGCACTTAACGCAGGGCCAGCTCTAAGGGAGGACTCAGCAATGTGTGTTATCTAATAAATAAACATCT